GCAGGAGTAAGAGGAAGCTGTGTGTTCCTTGCAGCTTTGGAAGGCTTACACGTTCTGTACTGTCAATATGAGTTGGAATCGGCTCGACTTCTGTGGACACTTTGAATTTGAATTACGCTCTTGGAAAAGAATGTGGACGATAACACGGACTGTTAGGAGAATGAACAAATCTGTCTGGGAGGCAGTCCAGCCCTAGAATGCTGAGGATGTGAGGATGGTGAGACTTGCCTCACATACTCTGGACATGTGATTCGGAGGGACCAGACCTGGAGGACATGACTTTGGTAATGTGTTGTTAAATGCTGTTAACCATGACCTATAATGACCCCAAGGAACAACAGATCTGTATCCTGCCCTGCTGTATGCTGCCCTCATCATCTCTGAACACGTGAGCCCACTGTTACGGTCACTGTGTCCATCCCTCTTGGTGAGGGTCTCTCTCCTTATGCTGATGCTCCATCTTCCCAGGCATGATGGCCCTTTCCAAGGACTGATCCCTCCTAACAACATGCCCCCAAGTAGGTGAGATGAAGCTTCACCATCCTTGCCTCCAAGGAGCACCCTGGCTGCACTTGGTAGAGGGGTCATCACAAAAGAGCAAGATGCCCAATGAGATGGCTTGACACAATGCCTTCAACAAGGGGTTCAAATACAGCAAAGATGCTGAGGATGGTCCAGGCCTGGAACTGTCTCATTCCGCTGATTATAAAGTCTCTATGAGTCAGGAGTGAACACTGTGATTTACTCAGCTATACCCACCTTGCCCAGCAGTGCCCACAACACCTGGTATTCCATAAGTACTCGGGGAGTGGAGGAGTTGCTGAATGAAGATAGGACAGTGGGAGTAAGTGTGAATGGAGATTGGAAATGCACAGGCAATTCAGTTAGAGACCCAAGTGCAGAGAATGGGGGCCAGGAAGGCCAACAGTCTTGGCCTTGGCCCTGCCTGCAGTTTAAAAGGCACAGAAAGCACACACGCCGAGGACCTTGGGCCTGGGAGGGGCTGCTGGATCTACCTACCGCTTCTCATTCCCGTATGATTTCTGGGCCACCTTGGCGTGCAGGATCCGCACTGTCTGCTCGCACTGCTGCTGCAGGCATCGCCGCACACCATCCCTCAGGGCAGTGGCGCGCTCTGGGGGAGACCTGCGAACGGGCGATTGGTGGCACGGCATCCTGTGCGTGGGCATTGGATGACATGCAGCCAGGGAGAGGGGAGAGTGGGCAAGGGAGGCGATCCGGGTGGTACAAGCCAGGATCTAAATGTTTGGGCTGTGGTGGTGCTCGCTGAGGCCTGCAGGGAGCCCACCGGGACCACCCCGACGCTGCTCCGCGGGTCTGGCCTGGCTCGGCGCCAGTTGCAGTTCAAGGCACAAAGGCCGCCCTTGTGCAGGCTTTGGGATGGATTGGGGTATGTAAGGGGGCGGGATCTCCATCCCCCTTGAAGGAACAGGATGTGTCGAACGTGCCCACCCCAGCAAGGCTTGATGAGGGTGGGGAAGGTCCTTCGCTGGATCTCCCAGCCCAGCACTGTGTCCCCAAGACCCTGGGGGAACATGAATGCTTCTGGGGTCAGGGGCCCTGGTGGGTCGTACACGACCTGTGAGACTTAACCGAAAGGCCCAGTCGCTGCGCTGGAGAAAGATGGGCAGTCTCGTCCTTAGATGGAGGGTCACAACGAGGGGTCCCCGCGCGCCCTCGTGGACATGAGCGTGCGGGAAGGCCTGGATGGTCTCAGGGTTCCTTCCCTCGATTACAGGGCCCCCTTAGCCTGGCGGGGAAAGCAGGCCCGGGTAAACCAGCTCCCAGCCCAAGGGCTGGTTGTGTCTCAATTTCGATGGGAAGACTCAAGGTCTAAGTCTCTAAAAAGGACGTGTAAGAGTCCATTACGGGTGATATGGGGGCATTAGCAGGTGGACCGGGGAGAGCCTTGAACCTGTGGGCTGCCTGGCCGGGCCTCCCCTCGCTCCTGCAGGAGGCAGCGGCGGCCAGAGCCGGGCGCGCCCTCGGACGCGGGGCCAAGCAGCCGGCGCCCGCGGCAGACCCGCTCCGCCCCTTGGGGCTCTGCTTAGGGAAGGCGGCCGAGGCTTCCAGCGCATTCCGGCTGCGGGGAGCGTCGCCGCCCAGCCTCGCGCCCGCCGCTCTGTGCGCGTGTCTGCAGCCCCGCGGGTGGCGGGCGAGGGGCGCCGCGCTCGCCCCGCCCCGGCCCTCGGAGCAGGGCGGGGGTCGCTCCCTGCGGTGGGAGGTCGCCGTCCGCGCTCCCCTCCCCACGCGCCAACCCGGGTTAAATGCACCCGCCGCCTGCGCGCACTCCAGCTGCCCGGCAGTCCCCGGCCCCGGCCCGGTACCTGGTCCAAGTGCCCGCGAGGCTCCGCCCGTCTGCCCTGCTGTGCAGCGGCCCCTCCAAGCTGTCCCGCAGGCTCAGGTGAGTCAAAGGGCCCGGGGGCGCTGGGGGACCTGCGGCGGACAGACGTCAAGTCAGACGAGGGGATACTGTGTATGGTGCCCGTTCGCTGTAGTGCCAGCCCCACGCCTGTACGTACCTTTCCAAATGAGCCCCCACTGGCAAACGTGCCCAAATTGCAGGGCTCTTTCCTAAGTCTCCTCGCCAGGAATCCCAGGAAGATCTCTAAGAAGTTTATTCACTGCCTGGTCAGCTCTTAAAGAAAAATTCATCTTAGCCCTCCTCTCCCTTCCTTTCTCCACCCTAAGCACCGCTCGGAACCGGAACCAACTCATAGCTGACCCAAGAAGAGACTGTCCACTTTTCTCCGGAGGAGCACCAGGTGGATACGAACCACCTGCCTTTGGGTTGTTAGCACAACTCCTTATCCATTAGACCACCGGAGTCCCCACTTTGTAAGATATTGTTGTTAGGTGCCATCGAGTCGAGTAAGACCTTGTGAACAGCCAATCTGAACCCTACCCTATCCTGTGCCATCCTCATTATCTCGGACACACAAGAGCGACGTTGCCAAGTGATGGCTTTAGAAGGATGGCAAGTTTAACTTTCCTGGAGAGGGATGGGGCGCCAGGTATGACGATGGCTCAGGCCAAGAGGCTTGGGGTTCTGAAGTCCCCGCAGGTAAGAAGGATGGGGTGGTGATAAGAGCCCCTGCGCCTTGACCCTCATGTTCCCAGGGGCGCCGGCCCCAGAGCTGGCCAAGCTAGAGAAGGTGCGCCCCAGAGGCGTGGCACATCTGGCCGCGGTGGCCGTCCCCCTGCGGGCTCTCAGCCTGCCAGGGGGGTGTTTTGTTCCTGGAGCCGGCCTGGATGGCGAAGGAGGTGCATGGCGAAGGAGGTGGAGCCGCACCCGGAGGGGAAGGCCGCCCGGAGCGTGCCGCGCGCACGACTGAGCTCAGAATAGGCCCTTTCACCCGCTTGGGGGTGGGGCGCGGCTGCGGTTGGGTTAGGGGCTGCCGGCCCCTCTGCCAAGAAATGCAACCGGGAAGTAGTAGCTACAGCAGCCTCAGCACGAGGGTGGAGCTGGGTGGGAGGAAGGGAGTGGAGTGGGATGGGAGAAGCGAGTGGAAAGGGGTGGGAAAAGGGAGTGGAACAGAAGAAAAAGAAGGCAGTTAGGGACTCCATGGCCGCTTGCAGACCCATTCAGCAGATCTGCGTGAGAAAGAGCTGGAAATCCGCTTCCCTAAAAATCAGGGCCGTGAAAACCCCGCAGGGCAGCTCTACTTTGTAACACGTGGTTCCTAGAGGTGGAAACCCAACCAAAGACACCTGTCAGGAGGGGTCAGCAGGGGTTCAGAAGTCCCAGGTTCTAGCTCACCCTGTATGGCTCAATTCTCTTTCTTGAGCCTCAATTTTTCCGTCTGTACAATGGGGGCCCTCTGAAGACACGTGGGAAGGTGAGCGCTCACCTGCTGCTGCTACAGGGTCCATGCTGTCCTCCCAGGGCCCCGTCGCTTGCCCGCTGCTTCTGGCCAGTACTACTGTCCCCAGAACCTTGCACAGCGACCGCACTCCGTGCCCTGCCCGGATATACCATCTGTCCCCGGGGGCCTTATCTTCAAGGTCCTGGGGCTCCAGGCCCTCTGTTTGCTCTGGGCTGGGACACCTGCTGGGCGGCCCTGGGCTTCCCACGCTGCTCCAAGCTGCACAGCCCGCCCTGGGCAGCGCCTCCTGGCGGCTTCTGCCGAGAGAAGGCCAAAGACCCGGCCGGTCCCACTCAACCCAACCAAGGGGAAAGGCCTTACTTCCCAGGTTGTGCTTGTGGGTAGGGTGGCTTGTATGAGTGGTCGTGGTCTTAATGAGAGCCACACAGAGGCGTCTTGTTTGAGGAGCCACGAGAGCTGAGGTTTGCCTAAATTGAGACCAGGGCTCTGAGCGCCTCGCCTGGCCCTCAGTCCTGGGCAGGCACACCACTGAATCATAGCTGTGTGACTCTGGGCACCAGCGTTGAACTTTTTGGAAACTGAACTTCTCTATCTGTCCAACGGGGACAATAACAATCTTAGCTGGATATAATTGTTGTTGTTGTTAGGTGCCATTGAGTCGAGTACCCTACGAATAGCCGACCTGAACCCTATCCTGTGCCATCCTCCTCACCTCTGACACACTAGAGCCCAAGGCTGAAGTGACCATGTCAATCCATCTCCTGGGAAGACTTCCCTGCACTGATCTTCTATCTTTGCTGAGGGAATTATAAATGTGTTTAACATTCCATTAAAAGCTTCTGATTCTTTGCCCTGGTGGCCTAATGGCAAGGAATGGTGCTGCCAACCCCAAGGCACAGGGTTTGAATCCACCAGAGGTTCCCAGGCAGAAAGATGGACAATTCATAGCCTCTGAAAACCCACTGGAGGGTCACTTCTGAGTTGGTTCTGATGCAGAGGGATCATGAAAATAAATTCTGGATCAAAAGAATAATGAAACTCCAAACCCACTTTCTTTTGAGTTCCCATCATCAGGCTATGACTATACAATCGTACAGCTTTATCATTTTCCTCCCTCCTCCCAGGTCCTGACACCCAGCTCTCCATCCCCATCACCATGAGGGGCCTCCTGTGCTCACCTCTGCCCGTGTTACTGCTGCTTCTCCCGCCCTGGGAAGCCCAGCTCCAGTCTACAGGTGAGGTCGGCCCGCTGGGGGAGGTTTCCAGGTCCTGGGCCAGCTGGGAAGAGAAAAGCAAGGGCTGTAGACTCTCACTAGGTGGGGTTCTATATCCAGCTTCACCTTGCTGGGCCTCAGCCTCTCCATTTAGAAAACGGAGTTTAGGGGTCACAAAGTTAGGTGCACACCCATTTGGTATTTGTTGTTGTTATGTGCCTTCGAGTTGCCTGTGACTTATAGCGACACTATGTACAACAACCCTAAACTCTGCTCTGTCCTGTGCCAATCTCATTATCTCCAACACACCCACTCCCATTACTCCAGTCAGTGAATCAATCCACCTCATTGAGGGTCTTCCTCTCCTGCACTGTGCCTTCACCCTCCCATGCATGACATCCCTCTCCAAGGACTGGTCCCTCCTTGCAACATGTCCAAAATATGGCAGATGAAGTTTCAGAAGCCTGGCTCCAAGGAGCAGCCCGGTTTAACCCTCTCCAGGATGAACCCATTCGTTTTCTTAGCAGAAATACTTACTTAAAAATATTTAGTAGAAAGCATTGAAAAATCAGGAGATTTCATATCAAACTTCTATCTGAGACATCTTTTAAAGGACTTTAATATGCTCTCTTAATATGCCATGTGGCAGCAATTGGCCGGAGCAGTTCAGTTTGGGGTGACCTTGGCTTTCAGGCAGTCTACCGTCTGCACTCAGTTCACTCATTCAGTTGTATATGTTCCTTGCCTGGCCCTCTAGGTAGTTGTTTGCACTGGACGGTTTGAATCCACCTGGTAGTACTGCTGAATAAAGGCCTGGCAATCTGAAACCATAAAGATAACAGCTAGGAAGACACTATGTTCTGCTAAAGTTCTGCTCTGTAACACTGGGGGGTCGTCAGTAGTCAGAATCAGCTCCACAACAACATCGTGTATGTGTGTGTGTGTGTGTGTGTGTGTGTGTGTGTGGTGTCCCTATAAGCACTCAGTTTGTGTACTCTGTCCTCTCTACCCGGCACCCTATGGATAATACCTCCTCAGAATAGTCCTCAGAGGTGTGAGACGGAGAATTTGCTTATTAAACCCAGAATGAGAGAGCTCTGGTGGCCTAGTGGTAAGAAGTTGTGCTGCAATCCTAAAGGCACGAGGTTCAAATCCACCAGATGCTCCTTGGGAGATGGATGGGCAGTCTCCTATCCTGTGATTTACTGCCTTTGAAAACTACTAGATCAGCTATGGGTTGGTTCCACAGGAAACAACAAAAAAAAACTCACCCGTGGGTGCTGCGATGCTGGTTAGCAGCATTCTCTAAAATTTCGCTCGGGAGCCGAATTTCTCAGGACAGTGTCGGTGGCTCTGGTCTCTCCAAAGGTCCCAAGTGCAGAACTGGGCCCCTGGATTTGGTGTTCGTGATTGACAGCTCCCGCAGCGTACGCCCCTTCGAGTTCGAGACCATGCGGCAGTTCCTGGTGGGCCTTCTCCGCGGCTTGGACGTGGGGCCCAACGCCACGCGCGTCGGTGTCATCCAGTATTCCAGCCAGGTGCAGAGCGTCTTTCCGCTGGGTGCCTTCTCGCGCCACGAGGACATGGAGCGCGCCATCCGCGCGCTCGTGCCGCTGGCGCAGGGCACCATGACCGGGCTTGCCATCCAATACGCCATGAACGTGGCCTTCAGCGTGGCCGAGGGTGCGCGCCCGCCGGAGGCGCGCGTGCCGCGCGTCGCCGTCATCGTGACCGACGGGCGGCCCCAGGACCGGGTGGCGGAGGTGGCAGCACAGGCGCGCGCGCGGGGCATCGAGATCTACGCCGTGGGGGTGCAGCGCGCCGACGTGGGCTCCCTGCGCGCCATGGCGTCGCCTCCGCTCGATGAGCACGTCTTCCTGGTCGAGTCCTTCGATCTCATCCAGGAGTTTGGCCTGCAGTTCCAGGGCCGGCTGTGCGGTGAGTCAGGGGAGCCTCCATCTCTCCTTTCGCTTGGACCCTGGTCCCCAGGACAGTACATGTCATCCCTGGCCTGGTCCCCTTTCCACCAGCTTCGTCTCAACCCGCCAGGAAGCACCGCTTTACCGTATGCCAGTGTTCTCTGATCGGTGTAAATATTTGCCTGGCTCCTGGTTGTCTGTACCATAGAGTGAGAACTGATCCATTGCCGACCCTCTGGCAGGTTTTCAGAGGCAGTTAATGGACTTTAGAGGAGATTGCCCACCCTTCTCCAGCAGAGCATCTGGTGGATTCGAACCGTGTGTACTCGAGATTGCAGCACAGCTTCTTGCCACTAGGCCACCAGAGCTCCCGGCACTTGGGCACTTTTGAGGTCTTCAGTTCAGTGGTTCTCCACATAGTGTGTCCGCTCCTCACCACCCTACGCCGCTCATTCCCGTCTCTGTCTCCTCTCTCTGCTCCTCACCGGAGCTTCCTGGCTGCTGCTGTTTACCTCTCTGAATCTTTCAAGTTCTGGTTTTTCATTTCCGTCTCTGAAGAGCTGTGAACATCATCTTGCTTACCCAATTGGATTATTATTTTTATTTTTCGAATATGTGTGTCCTTTTGCTGTGGTCGTAATTGCAATTACCATTTAACAAATTTCCTCTCCTAAAACAAAACAAAAACAAGCCTCAAAACGTGGTGCGATCAAATGGATTCCAGCTCATAGTGACCCCTCTGGACAAGGTAAAACTGCCCAAAAGGGTTTCTAAGGCTGTAATATTTAAGGAAGCAAACTGCCAAATTTTCCTTCCTCAGAGCAGCTGATGGGGTTGAACTTCCAGCCTTTCTATTAGTAGTAGCTCAGCACTTAACCACTGCTCCATCAAGGCTCCTTATAGTTACTGTCTTGTCGTTGTTATTAAGTGCCATGGAGTCAATTATGACTCAGTGATGCTAATGATCTGAGCGTTTTTCTGTCCTGCACCATCCTCACAATCTCAGATATGTTACAGTCACCTTCTTGTTGGAGGTCCTCCTTTCTCTGACCTTCCAGCCCTTTCCCAGAATGATACCTTTTTCCAAAGACGGGTCCCTCCTGACAACATGCCCAGAGTATGTGAGAAGAAGTTTCACCTTTGCCAAAACGAGGAGTACCCTGGTTGCACTTCCTCTCTGATACACTTGTTCATTCTTTTGACCGTCCAGGGGATATTCAGTACACTTCGCCAACACCACAACTCAAAGGCATCAATTCTTCTTGTCATCCTTACTCACTGTCCAACTTTCAGATGCATGGGAAGTAACTGAAAAGACCGTAGACTGGATCAGGTGCACCTGTTGTTAAATTGACATTGTTTCTCTCTAGCTCTTTGGAGATGGCCTTGCCATATGTTCCCAATATTACAGTACATCTTTTGTTGACTGTCGTGCTCTGGAGGCCTAGCATTAAGAAACTGTGCTGCAATCCTGGTTGGCACATGGTTCAAATCCACCAGCTACTCCACTGGAGAAAGATGAACAGTATCCTCCTGTGTGATAAACTCCTTCTGAAAACGCGCCTGAGAGTAAATAAACTATGGTTCAGTTTTGACTCAAAGGTACACAACAACAAGAAGTATTAGCCTCTGTGTTGCACACATTATATAGGTTATTATTTAATTTACCAACAACGTTCAAGAAATGGTAATCTGGTTATCAGCTGGGTTGACCTGTTACTGGAAGTTTAGAAAAGATTGACTTGGACCCTGTTGATGACCTGTGGACATTCATAGTACTCACATGGCATCTGGGACTTCCCCAGGGCCTCACATTCGGATGCTCAGAATCTGAGATTCTGCTGAATCCATTTGGTCTAAGGGTCCTCTCTCAATTTCTCAGACTTGCACATGCTGTTCATGCTCCATGCATGTAAATGAGCCCCTTCTTCAGTTTATGCACTTGTACACATTAGAGTATCTATAAGGAGCCCTAGGCGTGTAGCCCATAAAGAGCTCCACTGCTAATCCCTTGCTGGGGATTCAAAGCCAACACTGATCCAGGAGAGAAAGATGCGAATATCCTCCCCTGCTGCTGTTTCCAACCTCCAAAATCCAATGGAGGGTTAGCTATGTGTCAGTACTGATTCCAGGACAATGGGAGGGGGGATCTATAGGGAGCTCTGGTGGCCCAGTGGTAAGGAGCTGTGCTGCCAAGCCAAAGGCACTTGGTTCAAATCCACCACGTGAGAAAAGATGGGCAGTGTCCTGTGTCATGTCATTTACTGACTCTGAAAGCCACTGAGCTGAGCTGAAGGCATCTGTGGCTATGCCCATGTGCACATATGTCCAGTTTATTAAAGGCAGAGATGAACAGGGGCAAGAATTTTACTAAAACAAAACACACAAACATACATACTGAAAAGAAGAACTCATTGTTCCTAAGTCCTCAGCCATCCCATAGTGGATTTTCCCCTGGTAGACTCAGTCCACACTTAGTTTAATCTCTCTCACTCCATCTCTTGCATCATTTTCCCCCTCCCCCATCCCTTATCTCCTTCCAGGAACCCAGAATTCCCACCTTCCTGTGCAACCCCCTCCACTCCCTCAGCTTCAGGCACTTTCTGCATAAGATGGTGAGCAGGGGTTCCACCTTCCTCAGAAGAAGTCTTCCTTTATATTCCCATCTTGCTCTCTTCCATTTTATTCCCATTTTCTTGGATGACAAAATGGACACTCCAGTAGGTAAAGGGGCAGAAGCTGGTCCTCTCCTGCCAGTCCGCTGACATATCAAGGGCAAGGACATGTCAAGTTCTTAAAGCACTGTGGCTTCTCCTTCCTGTTCCTGGCTTAGTAATGGACACGGGTCTAGGATACAGTTAAGGCTTGAGGTGGGAGGGTCAGCTGGCCCAGTAGGAAGAAACGTATGTGTCCAGAAGTCCCAGATACCCAAGGAGCCTTGCTGGCCACAATGGTTAAGTGCTTAGGTTCTAATCCAAAAGATGGGTGGTTCAAACCCACCCAGTGGTTCCCCAAGCTTCTAATTTGATCTCTTGTGAATTTGAATTTCTGCTCCAGATACTGGAATCAGAATCTACATTTAATATGAGAAATACATAAGAATCATTTGTCGATCTGTGAGATCCACCTGGAGATGTTGGTAAATGTAGATTCTGACTCCTATATCTGGGGTGGAAATATAAGTTCTCAGCAGGAGCTTGGACTGGAGCGAACTGGTTCGAAGACCTGGCTGCAGGAGAAGGACTTGTAATGATTATGGCCCAGGAAATCCTCTGGGCAGTTCTGTGTGACATGTGAGGTTGCTATGAGTCGAAACTGACTCGATGGCCTGAATCAACACCACCAGGTGTCTCCCCAGATCAGTGACATCAGAATCTCTGGGATTGGACCCAGGTGCAAGTATTTCCAGCTCCTCACCCCCCAGTTTTCTTGTACTTTATTAAAAGTACAAGGTACTTTTAAAATATACAGATATTATTATTAATAATTATTAATTTTAGGGGACGTTTACAGACTTTGGATTTCCATTCATTCATTGTTGTACTTTCTCCCTGCCCAGCCTCTCCCCCAGTTCACTCTTCTCTTTGAAAAGTAAAAGAAAAATTATTTCATTGGTATACAGTCCCTCCCACGAAGTCCACTCCACTATGCAGCCTTTGCTCTGGACTCCTGTCATGACAATAATACCTAATCACATATCCCTTTTAAACAGTTCTCTCCCTCATCTGTTTCCATGCAGTATACATTATTGAACCCATTTTTCTCAGTCTCTCCACAACTCCCATGTCAGTCCGTTTTACAACAGTGGCACTGTGCAGTAATTGTCCTTTTGTGACTGAGATATTTCACTCAGCATAATGTCCTCCAGGGTCACCCATTTTGTATAATATTTCATGAGTTCCTTGTTTTTCAGTGCAGTGTAGTATTCCATTGTGTGAATATATCAGAGCTTCTCTATTCGTTTGTTGATGGGCACTTAGGTTGTTTCCAACTCTTTGCTATTGTGAACAAAGCCGCAATAAACATGTGCATACATGTATCTGCTTGGGTGGCAGTTATGGTTTCTTTAGGTTATATTCCCAGTAGTGGAATTGCTGGGTCAAATGGTAAAAATACACAGGCATTTTTTAAAAGCTCTCCGGCAGTTGCACTGTCTGGGCTGAAAAGTGTAGCCATAGGCCTCTGCTGACATCACTTCTTCCTCAGCCATTGACCATTGCGCCCAAGGGACCCATGGATGTGAGCACGAGTGTGTTAGCTCTCCAGGCTCCTATTCCTGTCGCTGTCGAGCTGGCTTTGTGCTTCAGCAAGACCAAAGGAGCTGCAGAGGTGAGTGTCCCCCAGTCCCGCCGCAGCACCCCAATCTATGCCTCCAATCAGGTGATACCTTGCTCTTTCTCCCTTCCCATCAGCCATTGACCACTGCAGTTTTGGAAACCACAGTTGCCAGCATGCGTGTGTCAGCACCCTTAGTGGACCCCGGTGTCGCTGCAGAGAGGGACATGACTTACTGCCCGACGGGAAGCACTGTCAGGGTCAGAAGGGGTCTCCTGCATTTGTGTAGAGGGGCAGGGGACCTCAGCTGGGTCCACCCTGACCTCTCCATCTCTCCATCTAGCCCGGGACTTCTGCAATGGTGTCGACCACGGTTGTGAATTCCAGTGTGTGAGCGAAGGCCGCTCCTATCGCTGCCTGTGCCCTGACGGACGGCAGCTCCAGGCAGATGGCAAAAGCTGCAACCGTAAGTTACTTCTAGGGATGGTGTCCTGCTGACCACTGTCCGCATTCTGAGCGCCCTTGGCTTTGACCTTGCAGTGGCCCAAGACTGTGATAGGAATGTGTTTGAGGCAGAGGGTGAGGGTGTGTCCTGCCTGCCTCCTGTCTGCTCTCTCCACTCAATCCCCTTGTCTGTGGCCAGGGTTAATTTTCAAAATACACATTTGATTACATTCCTCACTTGGTCACGTGCCTTCTGTGACTCAGTAGTGAGTGCTAAGACTAACTAAAGACCAAACAAATGCCTTAGCCCTAAACTTTTCCAATTTGGGTTTCGGCTACCCTAGTGGATAATTGTAGTCTCTGGGTGGTGCACATGGTTAAGGCATTTGGTCGTTAAACACGAGTTTGAAGGTGCCTCTCTGCATTGGAGAACTCCTATTCGTCCTTCAAAACCCAGTCCAAGGTTGCTGCCACTGTGCAGTCCTGCCCAGCTTCCCCAGAAAGTATGGCTTGCTCCTGTCTTAGATCTGACTGGTTCATTTTAACTTGAGTTCTCACACTTTGGGATTATGTCTTACGTATTGTTGTTCCCCTTTCAGTCCTTAGTTCAGAATACAGTGGTAACTTTGAGGGTAATTAGGAAGGAGGGACTTTAGGGTCAAACATCTGGCTTCTCATCCTATCAAGCTATGGAATCTGGGGCAGATCACTTTATTCTTCAGAATCTTAGATTATGTGAAATGGGAATAATATCCAAAGATATGGAATGGACTCCAAACACACTTCTAAATCATCTAGCTGGGTGCCTAGCACATGGTAAACTGTCAATGAAAATATCACTCCTGTTAGAACCAATACTGGCAAAATGCTTTGACGAGAATCTGACACACGGTGGATGGTTAAGAAAACGACAGCTCTTGTGATGGGTTTTATTACTAATACCTTTTAGTATACAGTGCTAAGTTTGTGCCAAGTACTCCGTAAATATCAAGGGGGCAGTAGGTTTGTAACTATTACCGATGAAGGTGCTAATAGTAATGAAATGTTATGTACCGCCAAATGGAAACTGATTCATAGCTGACCCTCCAGCGGATTTTCAGAGGTAATAAGGAGCACAGGAGGAAACTGCCCATCTTTCACAGCTGGTGTATTCAAACCATGTGCCTTTGTGTTGACAGCCCAATACCTTACCAATAAGCCCCCAAAGCTTTCTGGTAATAATAATAATAATAAAAATAATAATAATAATAATAATTTAATTCGGTAGCACCTGACACCACCACCATTTAGTCCAGTGTCCAGTATCATTATCCAATGTTTAACGTCGTGCTTGGAACAACAGGGTTTTAATAAATGGTGCATTACTTTCTAAATGTTTTACCCAATGACTGTTGGGGCCACGGCTGCTGGCAGGCCTTTTTTCAGTCACCTCCCGGCCTGCAAGCCTTCCTCCTGTCCGCACAGGGTGCAGGGAGGGCCACGTGGACTTGGTTATTCTCATCGATGGCTCCAAAAGCGTGCGCCCGCAGAACTTCGAGCTGGTGAAGCGCTTCGTGAACCAGATCGTGGACTTCCTGGACGTGTCCCCCGAGGGCACGCGCGTGGGGCTGGTGCAGTTCTCGAGCCGCGTGCGCACCGAGTTCCCGCTGGGCCGCTATGGGACTGCGGCCGAGGTGAAGCACGCAGTGCTGGCGGTGGAGTACATGGAGCGCGGCACGATGACCGGCGCCGCCCTGCGCCACCTGGCCGAGCACAGCTTCTCCGAGGCGCAGGGCGCGCGGCCCCGCGCCCTCAACGTGCCTCGGGTCGGCCTGGTGTTCACCGACGGCCGCTCCCAGGACGACATCTCCGAGTGGGCGGCGCGGGTCAAGGAGGAGGGTGAGCCTGGCGCCAGTGCGCACTGGGCGGAGCCGGGAGGGCGCGGGGAGGCGGCTCACTAGAGGTCAGGCGGCCTGAATCCGCACCCTGAACCCCGCAGGCATCGTCATGTACGCTGTGGGCGTGGGCAAAGCGGTGGAGGAGGAGCTGCGAGAGATCGCCTCGGAGCCCCCTGAGCTGCACGTGTCCTACTCCCCCGACTTCAGCACCATGACGCACCTGCTGGACAACCTGAAAGGCAGCATCTGCCCAGGTGAGCTATCCTGAGGCCCCCTCCCTTCCCCTTCTGATTCACTCCCTGCTCTTGAGTGGACATGGACTCCTAAGACTCCCACCAGGTGACCCCACCAGGTGACCATGTTGTTGTTGTTGTTGTGTACCATAAGGTGAGAGCCGACCCGTAGCTGACCCTCCAGTGGGTTTTCAGAGGCAGTTAGTCTCACGGGAGGAGATTGCCCATCCTTCTCCCGCGGAGCAGCTGGTGGCCTCAAACTGCGTACCTTCGGGATTGCAGTGCAGCTTCTTTCTACTAGACCACCAAAGCCTTGTCCTTCGTAGTGTGTGGTCTGCGGAACACCAGAATAGACATCACTGTGGCTTGTTAAAATCGCAGCATCCCTGTGGGGCTCCAGACTAGAGAAATTAGAATTCTACTTTTAGGTGATTCCTATTATGAAAGTGTTCTAAGCACTCGTCTCCCAGATTAGTTGTTATGTGCTGTGGCGTCAGACTGACTCATTGCTGACCCTTCAGTGGGTCTTCAGAGCTTTTCGGTCTCCTACAGGGCAACTAGTGGATTTGAACCACTTGCCTTAGGATTGGCAGTGCAGCTCCTTACCCACTAAGCTGCCAGAACTCCCAAATAATTCAGAATTACTCGAGGGAACAGGGAACTTTTTCAGAGGCACACCAAACCTGTTGTAAGTAGATTCACATCTTAGTTCCCTTAATGTTAGAATTGAACTTTAAGGATTTGCCAGAATGGTAGGATTGAATATGGTTCAAGTACAAAAAGACGTGTATTTTAAGCAACACAGCAAAAGAATCCAATCCATTTCCTTCAGCTGATGTTCAGTTGGGGAGCGCTGGTGGCCAGAACCTGTACTGCAGTCCCAAAGGAACTTGGAATCCACCTGCAGACGATCTAAACCACCTTCCTTCCCTTAAAAAGAAAAACCTATGAGACCACGGAGGTCTATGCAGTTGAACATTGACCGAAAGGATGTTAAACGAGGCATATCTGTTCTTAGAAAAACAAAAATAGGCTAATTCTAGTAATTAGCTGGTTTTCTGTAAATGCGGCTATAAATCAAATGGAAGGAGATTGTTCCTCTTTCTCCAACGAACCGTTGGCAGATTTGAAAGGCTGCAGAGGTGCCCCCATTGGGTTGACAGTGCAGCCTCCCTACTCACTACACCATCAGGATTCTTTAATGAATAGGTACCCTTACTATATCCCTTTCACAGAAGAGGTAATAGGTTTCAAAGGTTGAGTTTCTTACCGTCTCACAACTCGGAAATGGGACTCAGCCCAGCTTGAATCTAGAGCCCATAACATTCAACCGCAGGCAGGTGAGGGTGTGTCACGGGACCTGTATTCCCTACCCCCTGACTGTGGATGTCTGTTTTGCAGAGGAGGGCATCAGCGCAGGGACAGAGCTGCGGAGTCCTTGCGAATGTGAAAGCCTCGTGGAGTTCCAGGGCCGCACGTTGGGGGCACTGGACAGCCTGACGCAGAACTATATCCTTTGTGATGGATGGTGGGTGTGTGTGTGATGAGTTAGGGTGGGGGGATGGAGGGGGGGGTGAAAGGTGGGGATGGGGGTGGGGTTGGAGTGGGTTGAGGATTGGGATAGGGTGGAAGCAGGGTGGGGTAAGGATGAGGTGAGGTCTGGTGGGATGTGGTGGGGTTAGGGTTGGATGAGGAGGTGCGTTTGCTCCGGCTGGAGTGTGGCGAGGGGTGGTGCGAACAGCAACTTCCTTAACCAGACACTGGCCCGGCTGAGCGCGCGCCTGGAGGACCTGGAGAACCAGCTGGCCAGACGGAAGTGAGAGCAGCGTGGCCGGTGGAGGTCCCCATGCACCGCGCCCAATCGAGGCGCCCTGGCCTGGCCGAGCCTGGCCCGGGGAAGCTGGCCTGTGGGGAAGGAGTCGCTGGCAGGCTCTCCAGTCCCTGCGCCCCAGCTGCCCTACCTGGACCACCAGCCAAATGTGGGGAACTGTGGGATTTAGCGTAATGGGTTTGGGGACCTAAGGGCGTGCTGGATCTACGAGCCCTCGCTGTGTTGTAAAGTTCCTTTTTGGATTGTTTTTTCTTTCTTTTTCTTAAAAAAAAATAATCTGGTGTCCATGGCTCAGTTAGTGGGGGTCTTGCTATGTGGCCAGGGAGAGGGAAGGCCATGCAGGGCTCAGCCCTGTTGGGCCCTGGTGGAGAAAGGCGCTTTGTGCAGGGGTGGTGGTGACAGCGTCGGAGAGTGTGTGTGTGTGTGTGTGTATATGTGTGTGTAGTGGGGGGCTAGGGGGTTGGGCTTAGGGGGTAGGGTGGGGGCTGGGGGCTGTTTCTCCTTTCTTGTTTATTCAGCTTAGAACAGAAGGCTCCTTATGCTGGATGTGGGAGGGGAGGGACCCCTTGGGTTTTGAGCAAGTCAGTACCCCCATCCTCAGTAGATTTAACTCTTGCTTTTCTGAGAATGCCTCTCTCCTGGTGTCCCCAAATCGGGCTCAGAAGCAGCTAGAACTGGATAGAGGTAGTTGGCCAGGAGATAGGAGGCAGTGATTTAGTTTTGCCTAGTTTTTGTCTCCCTCTGTACATAGGCAGACAGAGGACTTTTGCCCCCAGTAGGCCTCTCTTCCCTTGGCTTGTGTCCCTCCCTCTCCCTCTGCCCTCAAAAATCTATCAGTAGGAAGCACTAACCCATTCTATTCCCCAGGTTCCTTCAAGAAGCAGATTGAGAGGTTTCCTGTCCAAGGCTAATAATATCCTGAGTCAATGACTCTCTGGCTTTCCCTCCTCATCTGTAAAATGAGGATTGAAATTGCCACTCCTGAGGACAATAGAATGGAGGAAATTTTTCTAAGGCATCTGACACGATAAAAAATTCATTGCACTGGAGTCTGAAGAGACCATAGCTGGCCCTGCAGTGAATTTTCAGAGGCTAAAAATCTCAGGGGAGGAGATTGCTCATTTCTCTTTCAAGGAGTCGCTGGTGGATTTTAATGGGCAGAGAGGCATCACTTTTGAGTTTCCACAACACTTGTCCCCTGAGTGCCCCATTTGACAGTATACTTGGTATACATTAATGGTACATTAACTATCATTATTTTTCAACTTTCAACTGTGCTTTAAGTTGAAATCTTACAGAGCAAACTGGTTTTCTATTCAACCATTCATATGCAGTTTGTTTCGGGACATTAATTACAGTCCCTAGATCATAACAGGATTTCTCCCTTGTGATTCTCAGTTCCATTTATCCAACTATCCTTTCCTACCTTCTGAGCTGCTTATGACGGCAGTGCTGTCCTACTGACCTTGTGTAAGTTTATCGGTACCTCTCCAGTGATACTGTTCCACTTAGCGGTCTGCCTGTTGTATGAAAGTTGAGCCACAAGGTGAGTTTAATTCCAGACTAAGATAGAGTAAGGGCCAATAAGGACCAAAGCCTTGGGGGTTCTGCCTGCCTTTATCAGACAAGCTAGCACGGTCACTTTTTTATGATTTTCAATCCCCCCCCTTTCTCCCATTCTGTCTAGGACTCTCTTCTGAGACCTGCGGTCAGCAGTGGACTCTGGGCACCAGTCTGGTTCCTCTGGGCTCAGGGTGGTGGGGGTTGAAGTTCATATGGTTCATTTCTCCTTTGGACTAATTGTTTCTACGCACCTTTGACTGTTTTGTTGTTCTTTTTTTTAATTTTTATTATTATTATTTTACTATTTTTGTGTGCGTGTACCATCAAATCAGATCTGACTGGTACAGGAGGAGATTGTCCCTCCTTCCCCGGCAGAGCATCTGGTGGATTCGAACCGTGCGCCTCTGGGATTGTAGTTGCAGCTCCTTGCCACTAGGCCACCAGAGCTCCCCCTTTTTTTGTTGTTCTTTATTCCAGATAGGGAGAGACAAGTCGTAGAATGCTATTAATTATTTTTTGATGAGATTATATATATATATATATATATATATATATATATAGTCTTGG